ATCCTTTTCCATCTGTCCATCCTCTTGCTCCTTCCCTTTGTCAGTCTCCTCCTTCACCTAGTTTGTTGAAAGAGCAGCAGAGATACCCCCAAGCCTTTGGGGGACCAAAGGGAGGGCATCTTTTGGGGGGTCAGGGGAAGTGATTCTAGAGGAATAAGGGGAAGTAGGGAGGGGAGAGGGTCAAGGGAACAGGACAGAAGATGGTAACCCTACCCTAGGGAGGGGTTGCCGCAGCCATCAACAAGGGATTTAGTGTCCAGGCCCTGGTGAGCAAAGCCAGGACTGCCTGTCTCTCCCCTAAATTCCCCCCCTCCCCGGCGCTTTAGCTTAGCCTCTGGGAACATGGCCTTCAAGGCCCCCCCCCATCCTTGACAGGGAATCCCCCCCCCCAAACAAAACGGGACACGCAGGCAGCTAGGTAACCCAAGAGGCTACAGAATGTGCTGATGGCAAAGCACGATAACCATCTCAGGATGGGGTGGGGTCACCCCAAGTCACCACAAAGGGTCACCTCGTTTCACACAGCACATCCTTTAACCCAAGGGGCTTGTAGGCCTGACTCCACAGGAGTGTGGTCTTCACGCTGCTGCAACCCCGGAGCATCTGGCATCCCAGAAAGGAGTAAGAGTGGGGCCTAGGTGGTGGGTTTGCCACTGGGCCCTGCCCCCTGGGGTGCAGGACAGGGTATACCTGGGGAATCTGGGGCAAAGGAGAGGCTCCAGAGGGAGCGAATGGGGAGGACCCAAGTTTGGAGGCCAGGTAGAGGCAAATGAGGACAAAAGGAAGCTAGAGTTCAAGGAGCAGAAAGGCTGGGCTGCCTGGGTCAGAGGGAAGCCAGGGGAGCTGGGGGGAAAAGAAACAGCAGGGAACTGACTGGCCACAGCCAGGTGGGCGGGACCCGGGGCTGGGTGCAAAGCCACAAGTTGCTGCTAAGCGGCTGGCCCTGGTGTCAGCTTCCTCAGAGAAGCAGCTGCTCTGAGCCGCCCTTCCCCACCCTGCTCCAGCGTGGGGGCATCTTGCTTTCCATCAGGGCAGCTGCTGGAGGAGCAGAAGGGTACACGGGGATGGGTTACAGGCAGGGAAGGAGAGGCAGAGGAGAAAAGTTCTATGAGGTAGAGGTCAAAAGGTCTGTGAGGTCAAGCAAGCCTCCTCTCTCGGCCTCCATCCAGACCTTGTTTCCTGCAGGGACCCTGCTGTGTGCTTTGCACTCTAGGGCTTCAGATCCTAGGCGGAGGCAGGGGAGGGGGAGGGGGAGAGCAGGTGTGTGTGTGTGTGTGTGTGTGTGTGTGTGTGTGTGTGTGTGTGTGTAATGGCATACCAAGTAGTCAGATCGTCCTGAAAGAAGGAAAGGAAGCCAGCTTTGGGGAGGGGTTATGGGACTAAAGGATTGTCCTACTAGACGCTTCTGCCTGGACTTGGGGGAGGGACAGCCTCCTGGGTGAGTCGAGGACGAAGTGTTCTTTCCCTCCCCTTTTTCACAGTTCCCGCAAAGCCCTCCTCCTGCAGCCGAGTCCTGCTGTGACCTGGGGTGGGAGTTGCTCAGACAATGGGGTCACATCAATAGGCACCCACATCTCAGGCCCTAGCTGGCCCCTCTCCAGCAACACCTGGAGGGAGGGACAGCGACACCCCAAACATGGAGAGGCGGCAGGCGGCAGCTCCAGTCGAGTCAGAGTTGTGCGCACAGGAACAGGCTTTGTAGCGTGCGCCTGCCAACGGGGCCCTTTGAGGTTATTCGTTTCTCCCTCCTCTGGTGTCCCAGAAGGACAGGCTAAAGCCAGACACAGGGCCCATGAGCAGCCAGGAGCTGCAGAAGGCTTGCCATATGGGGCACCTGGCTGGATGGGTGAGGTAGATACCAGGCACTATCCTGGACTTCTTCCTCCTGGGGTCTTAGACCCAGCCTTGAAAGGGTTCCTCTTGCCTGAGACCAGAAGAGTGATCTGCTTCTGAAGGACAGAACCTGCAGGGCCCATCTCTCAGCAATGCTAAACCATTTAACCATCTCTAAAGAAACACTTAAAGGGAATTGTCTCTTGGGCTCCTCCTTCCTGTGAACCATGCCCATTTGGGGAACGGCTGGGGGTCCTCGTGCTCACCCCTTGTCCCCATCTCTGGAAGGCAAGTTCCCTGAAGGCTGGCGGGGTCTGGGGGAGGGGGAGACTCAGGGCACCAGTTGCTGCTAGATTAGGAGAGGATCAGACCTGCCTATGCCCGGGGCACCACAGCCAGCCCTGGCTAGCTCTCCCTTTGACAACACAGCATCCAGGTCTCCAAGTCTCATCCACCACCGCCCCCCTCCCCCTTACAGGGTCAATTCTATCCCTAGTCTCCCAAGGCCAAGATTTGGGGAGCCCCAGGGATGAGACAGAACAGGGAGAGCCAGCAGGCTTCCCCGGGCCAGCCCCTAGCCTGGGTGGCCTGGGCACCCAGCTGTCTCCTGTCCATCTCCCCACAGGACACAGGGCCCAGAATAGCAAGGTCATGAGCATGGGTCGGGCCTCCTGGAGGTGGGGCAGAGGCTGAGGGGCATCTAGGGGTGGGGGGCAGTGAGACAGATGGCAAGAGGAAGGGGGTGGGAGGGCTAAGCACAGTAGGGTGGGAGTCTTGAGACTTTGCCCCTCTGGAGAGCCAGAGCGCCCTCTGTTGGCAGAGCCACAACACAGGAAGGCATCTAGAGAGGGAAGAGGCTGGGTTCAAATTGGGGCACAGCAGCTCAGGTAAGGGAGGTGATCTGTGGGCTGGGGCAGATGTGGAAGCCCAACCAGGCGGCCATTCTTCAGACTTGCAAGGGAAACCCCCAAGCTGAACGTTTAAGGAAACTCAAAGGGAACCATATTACCCAGGCCACAGAACTCGTGTCAGCCACATGGACTGAGATGCACCTTCAGATTTTACAGTGGATACCAAGGCCCAGAGTGGCCATACCTTGCTCATGGGGGCTAAGGTCTGGAAGCCAGTGCACTGCTATGTGGTCTCTAACTCCGTTTGGACAAAAGGGCTGCCTGCCTGGTCTTGGGCCCCCCAGCAGCCAGCCAGACTGCCACATTTACATTACCCCCAACACAGACACTGAGGCCCCATCCCACCCCATCTCCCTTCCTACTTTTGTTCTAGAATAGGAAGCTTAAAAGTTCTGCACAGCTGGCCGCTAGTGGCTCATGCCTGTAATCCTAGCCACTCAGGAAGCACAGATCTGGAGGACTGAGGTTCAAAGACAGCCCAGGCAGAAGTCTGCTAGATTTCATCTCTAAAATGATCAGAAATGGGCTGAGAATGTGGCTTAGTGGTACAGGGCTTGCCTAACATGCATGAAGCCCTGGGTTTCATTCCTCAGTACCACATAAACAGAAAAAGCTGGAAATGGTGCTGTGGCCCAAGTGGTAGAGCACTAGCCTTAAGCAAAAGAAGCCAGGGACAGTGCCCAGCCCCTGAGTTCAAGCCCCAGGACTAGCAAATAAAGTAAAATAACCAGAAGAAAGCAGAGCTGGAGGTGTGGCTCAAGTTGTGGAGTGCTAGCCTAGCAAGTGTGAGGGGCTAAGTTCATACCTCATTACTGCCCCTCTACCCCCCCCCCCCCGCCCGCAAAAAAATTCAACACTGGAAAGGCTCTCAGTGACCACTAATGCTGTTATCTACTGTCCTGATCCACCTAGGACAGGAAACCTTTTTGCTACTGAGGGCCACTTGGATATTTATAACATCATTCTGATGCCACACAAAATTATCAATATAGTCAGACAGCTATAGGCAGGAAGCATCTGTGTGGATCTTATCATGTACCAAATGATGTCAAGGGCCTTAAAAATGGCCTGGAGCGCTGGGAGCTGGTGTCTTATGCCTGTCATCCTAGCAACTCAGGAGGCTGAGATCTGGGGATCATGGCTCAAAGCCAGCAGGGGCAGGAAAGTCCACGAGACTCTTATCTCCAATTAACCACCAGAAAACCAGAAGTGGCACTGTGGCTCAAGTGGCAGAGTACTTGCCTAGAGCTGAAGAGCTCAGGGACAGCGCCCAGGCCCAGAGTTCAAGCTCTCTGACAAAAACAAAAAACAAAACAAAACAAAAAACGAAAATCCTGGAGCTGGGAATGTGGCTTAGTGGTAGAGCGCTTGCCTAGCATGCATGAAGTCCTGGGTTTGATTTCTCAATACCACGTATATAAAAAAAGCTGGAAGTAGTGCTATGGCTCAAGTGGTAGAGTGCTAGCCTTGGGCAAAAGAAGCTCAGGAACAATGTCCAAGCCCTGAGTCCAGGAATGAAAAAAAAAAAAAAAAAAAAGGCCTGTAGCCAGGCACTGGCTCATGGCTCTAATCCTAGCTACTAAGAAGGCTGAGATCTGAGGATTAAGGTTCAAAGTCAGCCCAGAGAGAAAAGTCCATTAGCCTCTTATCGCTAATAAACTACTCAGAAGAAGCCAAAAGTGGCACTGTGGCTCAAATGGTAGAGCACTAGCCTTGAGCAAAGGGAGCTCAAGGACAGGGCCAGGTCTTGAGTTCAAGCACCAGGATGGGGGCAGGGGAGACCTGTAGCCGGGCACTGGTGGCTCATGCCTACAATCCTAGCTACTCGGGAGGCTGAGATCTGAGGATCATAGTTCAAAGCCAGCCCTCTGCAGGAAAAATCTAAGAGACTCTTCTCTCCAATTAACCACCAAAAGCAAGAAGTGGAGCTGTAACGGTAGAGTGCTAGTCTTGAGCAAAACAACTCAGGAACAGCACCCAAGCCTCAAGTTTAAGCCCTAGTACTGATGCGTGCCTGTGCACATGTGCACACACACAAAACCACACAAATGGCTTGTGGGCCACACTTGCATGAAGAGAATGTGCTAGAAACCCCAAGACATACTGCTGAGCTCTGCACACCAGCCAGCCTGCAAAGCCATGGCCCTGAAACCCAGCGCTCTGGCCTCTCAGCTCTGGAGCTCAGGTTCTGGGACAGGAGAATGGCCCTCCCGACACCTGTCCCAGGCCCCACTGCAAAGACTGGCCACCACCATGGAACTGAGATAACCCTTTTATTGATTTATGCTGCTCTGTTTTGTTTAAAACAATAGTGACAATCTTAATACAACTGACAGCCCTTCCCCCTCACCCTTTGCTTGGGCTGGGGGGTGGTTAGTGGGGAAATGGCCCCCAGGGATGGGACTGAGCACAGGAGCCCCGCAGGGAGGTAATGGAGCCCAAGTCCCCAGTGGGGAAGGGGCACCTGTAGTGTACAAACTGGGGAGTTAGCAGGGCTCTCGAATGGCTGCTCGTACCAACATATATGCCCTTGGCTGACAAGGGTCAGGAAGCATGTGGGGGAAGGGGAGTCCCACTCTCCTCTATGTCCCCACCCCGCCTCGCCTCTCCACCGAAGGCGGGGGAGCAAGGAGAGTGGAGGGTGGGTGGGTGGCTCACACAAAGGAGTACTGGTTATTAATGGCTCTGGGATGGCCCCCTTCTTCTCTGTTGCCCCCTAGTGGTAGTTGCTGGAGCTGCGCTATCAGGGTCACGGCCGCGTCCCCAGCAGAGCCAGCACCACCCTGGGCCTCCGCTCCAGGTGCTATGGCCTCTTCCAATTCCACCATGGAGACCAGCTCAGCCAGGGGGACCAGCTCTTCCTGGCCCCCTCCACTGCCCGCTTTCTCTTTTTCTTGCTTCTCTTTGGCTGCTGTGGCTGCTGCTGCCGCCACTTCTGGCGCCCCCGCCGCCTCTTCTGCCCCAGGATGTGGGGGAGCTGTCCATGGAGGGGGTTCAGGGGCCTGGGGTGGGTCATGGGAGGTGCTCGGCTCTGGATGGGAATGGTGAGAAGACACGGATTGTGGAGGGAGGCGAGCTCCGGCAGCGGCCTCCCCTTCGCTCGCCGCCCCCAGGAGCCATGTGCTATCTCCCCCACACCCGTCTCCTGAGCACCCCCCTCCATGAAGGATGGATCATGGGCGGCGGTGAGAGGAGGACCACACTTACACACAGTCACTCGCTCCGAAGGGCAGGAGGGTGGAGGAGGCCTCGGGGTAGCATCCATCTCCCTCGCACACCCCTGCATGGCTCGCGGCCTGCTCCCGGCCTGGGGGAGGGGTAACGTGGGGACAGATGGGAACGTTGGGGTGGGGGAAAGGGAGAGATCAGACAGGGACCATCAGACATCAAGGGAGGAGGGAGAGGGGGATCACCAAGCATCCCCCACGAGGGCAGGCAGGCCCAGAGCGAGGTCACAGTGACAGGGCAAAGATGGGGCTGGGAGGATGAAGCCAGGAGACAGACGATGATGGCACGGAGGAGCCGATGGAATGGGGATGCACCAGCCCGCTCTGCACTGCTCCTGGCCCCGGAGGAGCCTCGGCCTGCCTACATCTCAGCCTTCCTCCATCCCTGGCCCGCACACGCAGGCCCCCTTGCCTAGGGTCTCTACGGCCCCTCTCCCTGACAGCCTGGCCTCCATCCCCGCCCGCCTTCCTGGCACACACACCTCACTTGCTGGGTGCGCGGGCACCTCCTCCCCGGCAGACCTGCTCTGCTCACCCTGCGGCCGCTGGGAGGGCACATAGCTGACGAGGACCACGTCACTGGAGCCTCCAGACTCAAGAGGGATGGGGTGCACCCGGAAGTGCTCGAGCATATCGAAAATGGACTGGAACCACAGGTGCTGGACCCGACACTGGCCCTCCTCGTTGAGCGACAGGCGCAAGTGCTGAGGGGCAGGAGGAGGCAGTGAGGCCGAGGCCGGGGTCCCGGCCAGCTGCAGCTGCAGGCCCTCGGCCCCGCGCACAGGCAGCGCGCTCCACAGCTTCCTCCGTGGCCACTCACCTTGGCCTTGCCCTGGAAGTTGAAAGTGAGGACGTACTCGCCCCGTCTTGTCTCGCTCTGACGGACCAGGAAGACACCATGCGAGTTGGCACCGCCTTCCAGCACTAACTGGGCAGCCTTGAGTCGAGAGAGCATCCCGTGGAACCAAGGGTACCCTGAGAGGGGCTGGTCCCCCTCGCCTCCCTCCGACTCCCCCTGGAACAGGAATGACCCTTCAGGAGGGAGAGAGGGAGGAAAAATTGGGGCGTCAGGGAGGCCCTGCTCTTCCTTGGTCCCTCGGCCCCTCTGTCCCCCCCTCCTCCCAGCTCAGGTGCACCCTACTCCCCAGACAAGAGCCTCAGGAAGGCAGGCAGCAGCCCTGGCAAGACACACATCACCCTCTGGTACCTGTGGCTGTTTCTGGAGTGTCCAGGGGAGGGTAGGGGGCTGAGAGAGGATGAGCTGTCCCTGCTGGGGGGCCCTCCTCAATGGGCATGCGAGGGGGCAACTCTGGGGGAAGCAGTTCCATTGAGTCAAAATGGGAGGCGGCAATGGAGGCAGAACTGGGGGAGATGGATGCAGAAGGCCGATCTGAGAGGCCCCCGTATGCCCCTAGAAGGAAAGGGAGGAGGGCAGGGTTGAGGGCTCCACACGTCCGCTTCTGGAGACCTGGTTCTGGTCTGCCTCCCCACTGGCAGTGACCCCTGAGGGTGTGGACCAGCGACCTCCAACTTAACGCTTGGTGCACCGCTGAGGGGCTGCAGCTATTGCAAGGAGGCCCCAGGATCCAAACGTCCCTATGTCTTTTCTGAATCGTCAGGTGAAAGACGGTTACTGATGGTTCAAATGTTTCACATTAGAGGAGCCTTTTGGGGCTTCAGGTGTGGCTCATGTGGTCAAGTGCCTGCCTATGGAGCTTGAGGCCCCAAGTTCAAACCCCAGGACCACCAAATAATAACCGAGTCCCTTGTTTGGCTAACAGGACACAGCTCCTAACACTAACAGGCATCAAAAAATTTCCATCTGGCCGGTGCAGGTATCTCATGCCTGTAATCCGAGCTACTCAGGAGGCTGAGATCTGCAGATCGTGGTTCAAAGCCAGCCCAGGCAGGAAAGTCTGTGAGACTCTTATCTCCAATTAACCACCAGAAAACCGGAAGTGGCACTATGGTTCAAGTGGCACCTGCCTTGAGCTGAAGAGCTCAGGGAAAGCGCCCAGGCCCAGAGTTCAAGCCCCACGACAGACCAAAAAATTTTTTTTCTATCTGCCAAGTGACACACACTTGTAATCACAGACTCAGGGGGCTGAAGCAGGAAGATATCAAGTTCAAGGGCAGCCTAGCTATAGAGGGAGACACTCGCAGAAAAACTAAAAAGGGCCTCAGTATGGTGTCTCACACCTCTAATTCTAGCTACTTGGGATGCAGAAGTGGGAGGATGGTGGCCCAAGGCCAAACAAGGTAAAACTTAGCAAGAACCTCTCTCAAAACCTGGTGTGTGCTGGGAAGTTGGCTCAGTGGTACAGCACTTGCCTTGCATGCATGAGGCCCTGGGTTCGATTCCTCAGCACCACATAAGCAAAAAGAAAAAAGCCGGAAGTGGCACTGTGGCTCAAGTGGTAGAGCACTAGCCTTGAGCTGAAGAGCTGAGGGACAGTGCCCAGGCCCAGAGTTCAGGCCCCACGACCGGACCCAAAAAAAACCCCAAAAAAACACATGGTGTGGGGGCTGGGAAGGTGGCTCAGTGGTAGAGCGCTTGCCTTGCATGCCTGAGGCCCTGGGTTCGATTCCCCAGCACCATATAAGCAAAAAGAAAAAAAAGCCAGAAGTGGCACTGTGGCTCAAGTGGTAGAGTGCTAGCCTTGAGCTGAAGAGCTGAGGGACAGCGCCCAGACCCAGAGTTCAGGCCCCACCAAAAAACAAACAAAACAAAAAAAACCTGGTGTGGAACCTGGTTGGTGGTGCACACTTGTAACTCTAACTACTCTAGAGACAGAGATAGGAGGATCATGGTCTAAGGACAACTCAGGCAGAAGTGGAAGATTGTATCTGAAAAACAAACTGAAGTAAAAAAGGTTGGGAGGCCAGGCACCAGTGGCTCATACCTGTAATCCTAGCTATTCAGGATGCTGAGATCTGAGAATTGTGGTTCAAAGCCAGGTTTAAAATCAGCCTGGGCAAGAAAGTCCGTGAGATTAGCTCCAATTAACTACCAAAGAACCAGAAGAGGAGCTGTGGCTCAAGTGGTAGAACACTAGCCTCGAATAAAAACACTCAGGGCCTAGGACCTGAATTCAAGCCCCAAAACAGGCACTTAAAAAATAATTAACTAATTAATTAATTAATTGCTGTGGGGAAAAAATAGCTCCAGTAGTATAACACCTACCTAGCAAGTGTCAGGCCCTGAGTTCAGACTGCAGTACTGTGAAAACAACTACAAAAATATTCCTCTTCTATTACTCCCCCTAAGCTAAACCAACTTGAACTTGATCTTTCATTGAACCCATGTGTTCTTTTTGTGTGTGTGCAGGTCCTTGGGCTTCAACTCAAGCCCTGGATGCCTTCCCTGAGCTTTTTTTTGCTCAAGGGTAGTGATCTACCACTTGAGCTACAGCTCCATTTCCTGCTTTTGGTGGTTAATAGGAGATAAGGGTCTTTCCTGATTGGCTTCCTGTGTGGCTAGAATGGCAGGCATGAGGCACCGGCCCCCAGCCCCCATGTGTTCTTACTCTAGCCCATTTCATCTATTATACCAGCTTCCCAAGCATCCTGGCCGTCTTCCTCCACCAGGTCTCTGGGCCAGCCTTCACTCCCTTCAAGCCATATTCTCTCACCTGCTCTAGGAAGCAGTCTCTATTCCTCCTTCCCTGTTCTCTACCTCCTGAGGTCCCAAGCTGCTTGTTTGGGAGGGTACAGCACAGACTCTCCGTTTTAGACACTTATTTTTTCTGAAATCAAGAGCAAGGTCTTACTAACCTAGCTAGACTAAGCCCACAATGGACAAGGGGCTCATCTCAGACATCTGACTCTCCTGGAGTGTCCAGGGGAGGGGAGAGGGTGCCCAGCGTAGGACCAGCCATGTACAAGGACTTCCTGAGTGTCTGCTGAGGAGCAGGCCTGGGCCTACAAAAATGTCCACTATTGTGCCAAGAGATCAGCGTGTGTGGAAAGGGCTCAGGAATCAGGTGGGTGGAGCCCATCTTTGCCACGGTCCCTCATGTGACCCCAGAAAGACTTCTTCCCCCTTCAGGGAGCCAAGACCACTGGATCTAATGATCTGGAAGGTCCACTCTAGCTCCAAGAGTCTATGATTTCTTTGTTCCTTCGCTTAGTACCATCATTGGCTTAGGCATTGTGAAGCTGAAACTGAAAACAAGGGTCAGGAGAAAGGGAAAGGGTAGAGTAGAAGCCAAATGGAGAAAGGTGAATTAGGCTAAGGGTGTGGCTCAAGGAGTAGATAAAATGGATTGTCTCCTTATGTGTACAGGAGTGTTTGGTCAGGCCAAGAAGCACAGAGGCAAAAAAAAAAAAAAAAAAAAACTTGGGAGTCTTCAGCAGAGATACGGAGTAAGAACAACAGTGTTCGAGAAGCTTGGAAAAGAGAAATCATTACCTGCGTGGGCCAGCACGGGAGCCTGTAGGAGACTAACAGAAGTGGAAGGCTGGGCATAGAAAGTCGCATAGGAGTTTGCTTGGGGCCTGTGTGGGCTGATGATGGTTCTGTGGCCCGAAAGTGCTTGACATATTTGAGGACAAAAGATGAGGACGACAGGACACAGGAACGGTGTGCTCAGAAGAGTCTCCAGAGAGGGAAAGGACAGGAGCCTTGCCCAAGGGGCTCGGAGACCTCCAGGCCTTGGTGCCACCTTACCCTGTGACAGGCGCTCATTGCTTTCGCTGGGTCCCAGCAGCAGGTCCTGGCTGGGCAGACTCTCTGAGTGATTCAGGCAGGGCGGTTCCAGGCTCTCTGTGTTCTCCCTTGTGAGGAAGGAGGCCCCAGGGGCTAGAGGGAGGGTCATGGGACGGGGACTGGTAGCAGGGCAGGGTCTGTAGAGATGGGAAAAATGCTGCTGGCGAGAAGATCACCAGGAGAGAGGTACAAGAGTGCTCTCCATTCCCGCCCTGGCCCATCCGTGACAAAGGCAGGCTCCTCACCCTGGGCTCAGGCATTCCTGGATGTCAGTCACCCAGGCCTTCACATGGAGAGCATCAGTCGTCTCCAGGATGTACTCTGAGGGGCCTTCCACCTACAGGACCCAGAGGAGGGAAGGCCTCAGCTGGGGCAGGGGGTGGGGACAAGTCCCATGACCACATCTACTCCTAAGAAGAATGAGACCATCTCCTTTCTCTAGCCCCCTACCAGAAAACGCAAAGCCACACTCTCTAGCTATGGCTGTTTGTTTACAATGTGCCAAGAGCTTCCTCCCTGGCCTGAGTACTCCCTGGGGACGGGGCTCCGTGCTCCTACCTTCACTACAAACGTGTTTTCCCGGTCGGGCATCTCCAGGGCTGTGGTTGTCCGGACATCTGTGATGGTCGAGCAGGGGATGCTGAGTCGGGGCCGTGATGCCTTGGCGGGAGAAGCAGCAAGAGCCAGTTGGTTGGTGTGCCGAGATCATCTTTCCCTTCCCTCCACACATTCACCGTCCTTTTTAGGTCTCTCGGGGAAGGTGGGGACTGCTGTCCGGTGCTGCCCCACAGAGCAGTGGCTAGCTCAGAGGGTCAGCAAAGCTATGTTCTCTCTTGTGAGGAAGGAAAGCTCTGTTCCTGGCTGACGAACCCTCTTGCTTACCTACAGGGCTGTGCTACCACTCTGGTTGCTCTTATCACTAGCTCAGATACACACACACACACACACACACACACACACACACACACAGACCCCGGGCTCACCTTGGGTGGTACAAAGAACTCCAGGCGACTTCCTCCTCCTCCTTCTCCTTCACTCCGAAGCAGTAAGCGACACTTCTGCCACTGAGGCTGCCCTCCTCCTCCTCCTGAGGTAGGCCCAGATGCCCCTCCTCCCCGCCCCACTCCAGCAGGGTCGGGAGCGGCCTCTTCAGCCCCCATGAAACTCAGGAGCTCTTCCCTCTGCACCATCCCTGCGCCGTCCTTCAAGGAGGCCCCTCCTCGACTGAGTCTCAGCCTCTCAAAATGGTGAGTCCATCTCTCCCCAGGGGACGTGCCATCACTAACCAGTCCCCTACCAATGTTCCCAGCCCCACCAGAGGAGTTGGAGTTGCTGTTTCCACCCAGGACTGGGGTGCCCGAAGAGGTCTCCAGGGGCCCAGCTGGGGAGGGAGGCTCAACGGTCCCCCGCCACTGTAAGATGCCACGGACTGAGCCTCGAACCGAACGACCCACCGAACGGAGGGAGAAGCGTTTCTTAAGCTTCGGCTTTGAGGAGGTTGAAGAAGAGGAAGAGACGGAGGAAGGGAGGGGGCCGGCCAGGTCCTCAGATGATCGGGAAGGGCCCAGCACAGCCAGGGGCCCACCCACCCTGCAGCTCTCAAGGGACAGCTCGTTGGGTGGTGGGCTTTCCAAGCCAGGGCTCAGGGGGGCCAGGACAGGTGGCGAGAGGGAGCCAGAGGCCCGGGCCACCTCGGCTTCAAAGTGCTGTAGGAAGAGCTCAGCAAAACGGCGGGAGAAGGCAGCCTCTGCGCCAGGCCCCGCGTACTGTGGGTGGGAGGCCAGGTAGAGGCGGAAACGGCGGGCAAAATCCAGGGCAGCAGCCCGAGCATGGGACTCACAGAACTCCCGCCAACTTGGAGGAGGAGGTGGAGGGAGAGGGGGCGGGGAGGGGGAGGCCCCATCCTCAGGGGAAGGGGCACCATTCATGATGGGCCCCAGGAGGAGGAGAGGGAGAGCCTGTGGGGAAGGGCAGCAAAGAAGGAAGTGGCCAGAAGACACAGGGTGAGCGGCAGCAGCTGCAGGAGGAAAGAGAGAGGCACACACACAGTCACTGCAGAGGTGGGACGGGGCATCCCAACCCAAGCCAGAGACCCCTGATGTGGTTCATACCCCTCAGAGGACAATCGGGGAGAGACCCCAAATGCTTCTCCCTCTTCCCGATCTGCACGCCCCACGCGCCCTAAGGCTGTCCCCACAGGATTTCTCCGGCTGCCTTTGCGACCACTCTCTCAGAAAGTGATCCAGGAGCAAGGGAGGTGTGGAATACTTCCCTCCACAAAGAACTCCAGGTCACCACTGCCCTTCTCTTAAAACATCTGTCATGCACTGCCCATGTGCCATTCCAGAGGCTTCCATAGAGTCATCTTACCTTTCCCTGGGAGAAGATGTCACAACCTCTAATATGAGAAAACCAAAACTCAGACAAGCTTTACAACACTGGGTCCACTCTGCTATGCTTTCGAGTGTCCCCAGGGCTTGAGAGAACCTAAACTGCTTACCACACCAGCTCACCAGGGACTGATGGGATATTAGAACCATCCAGCTTAAAGAGACCCTCCCTCAAGTATCCTAAGTCCAACTCGGAGGTAAGAGTTTGTTCATTCAAAACATGGACGGGGTGGCTCAAAGCAGCTGTCATTATGGAGGCTGAACCCATCACCCAAGCACTGAGGGAAGGAAATTTGGAATGGGTACAGGTGCATGGGGGAGGGCTTTAATCTGGGGCCTAGTGGCAGAAGCACCATAAAAAAGAAAGATGGCGAGGGTGGGTCAAGGCAAGTCTTTGCTGACCACAACATAAATTCAGTCATCACAGGGCAGGATCTGGGGCCCTAGGATTGTTGATATTTTCTACCCCCAGGGAATGTACCCCAAAGGCTGGTTAACCAGGCAGTGCCCAAGGCCATGGGATTTGGAGTCAGACTTGGGCTGAACCCCAGCTCAGCCACTTGTTAGCTGTGTGATCTTGAACAAATGACACATCCTCACTCAGCTGCAGTCTTCCTGTCTACTGAAACAGAGCTAATGATCCCTACCGTTGATAGGCGTTGGGAGAAACGAAATGAAATGGAACATCAGTGCTTGACACAAAGCAAACACCGAGAAATGACTGCCATTATTACTCTCTTTGGGGGGGGGGGAGAAGGGGACTAGCGTGCTAACTTTCTAAAAAAGAGAGAAAGAGAGAAAGAAAGCAGCTTCCCCAAATGTCACAACTAGCAAGTGGCAGAGCTGGGTGTAGAATTTACAACCCGAGGCTGCGCCACACTGGAAGGTGTGAGAGCCCCGGGGACGCTCAGGTGTCTCCCCCACACCAGCAGCAACCTTCACCTCCTCCTGCTCAAACCCACAGTCAGCCTCCAACTCTGCATCCCACCCCCTCCTCCACCCCCCCCCCCCCCCCGCTTTGGCCAGGACCCTAAACGGCTCAGACGGCCCCCCACCATAAGGACAACTCCAAAACCAACCACCAGCAGCCAGGAGATGCGGGAGGCAGAACACCAGGGGAATGGAGCCAAGAGGTGCAGACACTGCTGAGATGTCCCCAGCCAGAGGCCACCTCGGCCCGCACAGGCCCACCCAACCCCCCCCCCGCCCCCGTACCGCCCAGCAGACCCAATCCCCTTCCAACCCGCTGACCCCCGCGGCTTCTGAGCCCGGTGACTCAGTTTCCCTCCTGCCCATCAAGACTCCACACACACAATTTCCCGGTGCACCTGCCTTCTGGGCTCAGTTATGACATTTCCCGAAGGGCGGGTGGTGGCGGGTGCAGGCTCCGCTCCCGGCTGGGACCCTCCGGGCCTCGTGGTCAGTCCACTCCGCCCCGGCCCTGCTCGCGGGCCGCCCCCCCCCACGCCCCTTCCCGGGGCCCTGCGGTGCCGCACTCCGCGAGCGCCCTCCGGCCCCGGGCCCCCCCCACGCCCACTCCTCCCAGGGCTCCTCTCAGGCGCCGGGGGTCGGGTCGCAGAGAGGAAGAGACACTGGAAGAGGGGGGGTTCCGGTTCCGGTCCCACCTGCATCTCGGTCCCCGCGGTTAGCTCCGGAGGCGGCGGCGGCGGCGGCGGCGGCTCCCGCTCCCTGCGCCCCCCGCCCCTCGGCGACGAGCGCCCAGCCCGGATCTGCGCATGCGCAGGGACCCCCCCCCCCCCCCCCCCGCCTCTCTTTTTTTTCCCCCCCTCCCGTCGCCGGAGGAAGCGACCATAGAGAAGATCGGCGAGAGAGAACGGCTCCTTCGGATGCACTTCTGCCCCCCTCCCACTCCGCGCCGACCCCTCCCAGAGCCGAGGAGCCCCGGGAGCCTGGCGGAGCTCCGGATGCTTCTACGGCTGCGACTAACAAGGAGCACTGAGGTAGCCGCGGGAAGGCCCTCCGCGAGGAGGCTCGGGACGATGGAGAGCAGTCCACCATAGAGAAGGGGATAGAGTCCCGAGCCCTAGCGGCATGCTAGAGTGGCCGCCGAGCTCGCGCGCCCGGGACCAGCGAGACGATGACGGCGCTGCCGCGCGCCGGCCGCGGCCTAGAGCGCCGGGGGACGCGGACGCTGGCCCGGGCCGCTGGGCCGGAGGAGGAGCGGGTGACCTTGGGGAGGCCCTGCGAGAAGATGGAGCCCGAACCTAACGACCTTGGCTTCTCCGCGGAGAGGGCTCAGGCGGTCGTGGGAGAGGGAGTCCATCTCTGAAGTCGGGAAAGAAAGATGGGGAAAGAAACAGTGAGGTCGGTTTCGGACGTGCGTCCAGCCGGGAGCCCGTGGCAGGGTGATCCCAGCTACCCAGGAGGCTGAGGTCTGAGGATCGTGGTTCGAAGCCAGCCCGGGCAGGAAAGGCCATGAGACTTGTAGCTCCAATTAACCACCAGAAAACCGGGAGTGGAGCTGTGACTCAGTTAACAGTGCTGCACCTGAGCAAGAGCGCAGGGACAGTGCTGAGCTCCAACCCCACCACAGAGCAAAACAACAGCAAAACCCACAGGTGTCAAGGCCAGGTAGGCATAGAAGAGAGTTGAAGTCATGTGTAAACAAAAGAGCTTCCAGCTATCCAGTCTCTCAGCGACTCCTGCTCTGCCGTAGTTAAAGTAATGAAAAGTCCAGAATGGAGTAGGATCAGATGAGGAAGCTCTGGCTTTTCATCCCTGGTTCTGTTTCCCCGTGTGTTGGACTTATAGCTCAAGCAGGTCTCCTCTCTAATAGCAAGATGGCTTATCTCCAAAGTGAAATTCCAGTCGCTTAGTGACTTGGTGGAAGGAATATGCATCTTTTCTGAGAGTCCCAGTAAAATGTCCAGAACTGACTAGCTGACCATGGAACAGAGGCAAGTCACACAAGAAATGGATAAAGGCCCCGACTCAGAAAAATGTTCAAGGATGCATCTGACAGATCAGAGTTGGAAAAACTTAGAGAAAAAAAGCAACATCTGGCCATGCCCCGACTCAGAAAAATGTTCAAGGATGCATCTGACAGATCAGAGTTGGAAAAACTTAGAGAAAAAAAGCAACATCTGGCCCAGCCAGTCTCCTCACATCAGCTCACAAATTGTTAAGGTCCCCATTACTAGCTTTGTCCATCTGTCTTCCCACTTCAGAGGAAGATGTTTAGAGAGACTTCCTCCTGTAGTCTACCTTACCCTGCCTCCCCAAGCCATACATTACACACTCTTGGTCTATCTAGGACAGTAGAGGAATACAGAGGAGGGCAAGGGGCCATTGATTAGTTAGGTTTAAATGTGCTGTGTCGAACAAGCCAATAAATCCTAGCAATTTAGGAGGCTGAGGTCTTGAGGATCAAGAACTCAGACAGAAATAACTAGCAAAGGGGCTGGGAAGGTGGCTCAGTGGTAGAGTGCTTGCCTTGCATGCCTGAGGCCCTGGGTTCATTTCCTCAGCAACACATAACCAAAAAGAAAAAAGCCACAAGTGGCACTGTGGCTCAAGTGGTAGAGCGCTAGCCTTGAGCTGAAGAGCACAGAGACAGCGCCCAGGCCCAGAGTTCAGGCCCCACAACTGGACCCCTCCCCCCAAAAAAAGAAAAAAAAATAACTAGCAAAAATCTGGGCTGGAGGAGTGGCTCAAGTCATAGAGCAACAACCAAGCAAGCCAAATTGAGTCCTGAGTTCAAACTTCACACATACAAGTGTTGTGTGCCACTGAGATACCTCCACCTCCCCTCCCCCCCTTCTGAGATGACTGAACTAGTCTCCATCAGCATTAATCAGTAGTGTAGGAATTTAGCTGCATGTAGCAGTTAAATACTTGAAATGTGGCTAAGCCACAAGTAGACTAAACAGTCTTAGTGTAGGTGGTGTCCTTGTATAACTACATGAAGCTGTCCAGCTGAGATGGGCTTTGCAGTGTCCGCTGCACAAGGCAGTTTGGTGATCAGACATGAGTAGTGGCTGGAGTCATGGATATAAATGACTGTCCAGGTAATATATGTAGGAGGAGAAGAGGGCTGAGGCCTACTTCTGGGAAATAATCCACATTTAACAGGCAAAGGCAGTGGTAGAAAGTGCTAAGATGTACTCTTGGGTCCTATTTCCCACAATCACCCTGAGATAACTGATTTACTAAAGGGCTGGGGCTTGGCAGCAGGGTTTGCCTATTATATGAGAGGCCCTGGGTACATTCTCCAACATTAGGAAATAAGGTAGGGGTACTAAAAGAGTCAGGGAGGGGAAGAAGAGGAAGCCAAGCAACCATGTGCTATCAAGTAGATAGTAGTTCAGTTAGATTCCACAAGGAAGCCCTGGACATAAGTTATGCCTCCCCCAATTTGTCCAGAAACAAGGGAGCCAGGCCTTCCATACATTGGCCCAGGGCTACTGTACACACTTCCATCAAGGCAAAGCTCTGCAGGCAAAGCTCAACAAACATACTCGGAAACCACATACCAGACCAGGACATATGAGAGTACAGGATGGGGGGGGGATGGGCAACACATTCATGTACACAGTATACAAGGATCCACAGGAACTGGCTGTGCATTGTTAGCGTCACCTATAGAAAACATGGGTATCAGCCAGGTGCCAGTGGCTCATGCCTGTAACCCTAGCTACTCAGGAGGCTGAGATCTGAGGATATGAGGATTGCAGTTCAAACCCAGCTCAGGCAGAAAAGTTCATGAGACTCTTCTCTCCAATTAACCACCAGAAAACCAGAAGTGGGGGCTGTGGCTCAAAGCAGTAGCATGTTAGCCTTGAGCAAAAGAGTTCAGGGAGAAGTGGGGCTGTAGCTCAAAGTGGTATAGAGCTAGCCTTGAGCAAAAGAGCTCAGGAACAGCACCTAGACTCTGAGGTCAAGCCCCAGGACTGACAAAAACAATAATGCTGTGGAAACTGCTCCTAGAGAGCTCATTCCAATAACATTGTGTCCCACACACACTCCTTTTCAAAGTTTGAGGGATATAAGAGCTCTTACAGGGAAGGTGGCTCAGTGGTAGAGCGCTTGCCTTGCATGCCTGAGGCCCTGGGTTTGATTCCTCAGCACCACATAAGCAAAAAAGAAAAAAGCCGGAAGTGGCGCTGTGGCTCAAGTGGTAGAGAGCTAGCCTTGAGCTGAAGAGCTGAGGGACAGCACCCAGGCCCAGAGTTCAGGACCCATGACCAGACCCCAAAAAAAAAAAAAAAAAGAGCTCTTACAGAGGTTCTATAACTTACATACCCAGTTTACAGACAATAAAACCAAGGCACTCAATTACAACTCATTTTTAACACTCTTAAAAAAACTTTATTAGTATATATTGGTTGCACAACATAGTAAGTTTCATTGTAACATTTTGTTATTGTTTTATTTATTTATTTTTTTTGTGGTCGTGGGGCTTGAACTCTAGGCCTGAACGCTGTCCCTGCACTCTTCAGCTCAAGGCAAGCGCTCTACCACTTGAGCCAGATCGCCACTTCCAGTTTGTTTTTTTTTCTAGTGGTTTATTGGAGATAAGAGTCTCACAGACTTTCCTGCCAGGGCTGGCTTTGAACCGCGATCCTCAGATCTCAGCCTCCCGAGTAGCTAGGATTACAGGCATGAGCCACCGGTACCCAGCTGTTTCATCTTTTTGACTCATGGGCTCATTTTGTAGCTCAGGCTGGGCTGGAACTTACAATGCTCCTGCCTCAGCATCCTGAGTGTTGGGATTACATGTGTGTCACAACATCTGACTTTGATATTCTTCATATATGTATATAACGTGATTATATTTATCCCCTTCAACACGGGGGGGGGGGGGGGGGGGGGGGGGGGAGGTATACTAGTGCTTGAACTCAGGGCCTGTGTGCTACCTGAGCATTTTTACTCAAGGCTACCACTCTACCATTTAGAGCAACAGCACCACTTCTGGTGTTTTCTTTTCTCTCTTTTTTTTTTTTTGGTCCGTTGTGGGGCTTAAACTCTGGGCCTGTGAATGTGGCTCAATGGTAGAGTGCTTGCCTTGCATGCATGAAGTCCTGGGTTCGATTCCTTAGTACCACATAAACAGAAAAAGCTGGAAGTAGTGCTGTGGCTCAAGTGGTAGAGCACTAGCCTTGAGCAAAAAGAAGCTCAAGAATAGTGCCAAGGCCCTGAGTTCAAGCCCCAGGACTGGGAAAAAAAAAAAAAAAGAGTAAAAATCAAGTTATTGTCATAAGCTGATGAGACAAGAAAATAAAAACAAAAATAAGCAACCTTAAGATAATTCTGTACATTAGATGCTATGAAGTCAGATGACAAGTGATAAGAAGGGAGCCAGGGCTATTGTAGATGGAAGAGGAGACACGACACCGGAGGTGATCCCAGACTAAGATCGAGCCATATGGAAAGCTGCAGGGAGAGAACTGCCGGGAGAGGAAGAACATCTGCAAGACCTGACAGAGAAAAGAAACTTGAAATGTTTTAGGCACCTGTAATTGCAGCTACTCAGGAGGCTGAGAACCGAAAGTCTTAGTTCAAAGCTAGCCCAGGCAGGAAAGGCCCTGATACTCTTATTTCCAGTTAACCACCAGAAAATCTGAAGTGGAATTGTGGCTCAAAGAGGTATAGCACTAGCCTTGAGCAAAAGAGCTCAAAAACAGCTCCTAAGCCCTGAGTTCAAGCCCCACTGCTGACAAAAATCCATTAAGTCTTTGAGGAATTATATACTATATATGCTATATACACACATATACATGCACACACA